GAAGAAGAAGAAGAAGAAGAAGAAGAAGAAGAAGAAGAAGAAGAAGAGATGATTATCTATATATCCATGGAATGTTATTGCCTGATAGGAAGTCAAGATGCATCTTGGGAAAAAAGGCAATGGCAAATGACTCTGATACCCATATCAAGAACTTTGTGGTTGTTTCCACAAAGTCATCAAAAATTAAGGATGGGAAACTTGGCAGGTCATCTTTGGTTGATGCTATGAAAAAATGCCATAATTACATCATCAATCTTAAATCTCAATCTTAAGATAGAGCAGTATTTCTCAACTTTGATCACTCTTAGAGCAGAGGTCTCCAAACTTGGCAACTTTAAGACTTGTGGACTTCAACTCCCAGAATATGCTGGCTGAGGAATTCTGGGAATTGAAGTCCACAAGTCTTGAAGTTGCCACGTTTGGAGACCTCTGCTCTAAGAGGTGTGGACTTCAATTCCCCAGCTGGCTGAGGAATTCTGGGAGTCGAAGTCCATACCTCTTAAGAGTAGCCAAGACTGAGAAACTGAGATAGACTGAGAAGTCAAAAGCCATGCTGGAATAAAAGAGTGGAAGATGATTTATCACACCGTTGTCAAAGATGTGACATGGATGTGTCCATCACTTCACTAGGAAATGGCCTTGAGGTGAAACTTTTAGCCACAAATAATGGCAGTCAGGGGTGTTCTGAGTTACCGCACAACAGTCAAAAAGTTGGATTTCAGCAACACGGCTAACTTGGTGACCTGCACACTCACTGTCAGTGTTTTCTTGATATAAGGTGCCCCGGGTGTCAAAAGCTCTTCGTTGGTGATGGGTCTCTTCAAGACTTGCATGGAAAGAGAGAAAAATGGAAGATTAGATTGGATTGGATGAGAGAAATATTCCAGCTTTTCAAATATCAGGTTCATCACGTTTGACAATGCGTTCTCTGCAGTGGCGGGATTCAATTTTTTTTTAAACTACCGGTTCTGTGGGCGTGGCTTGGTGGGCGTGGCAGGGGAAGGAGACTGTGAAATCTCCAGTCAGAGGCGGGATTCGCCGGTTCTCCGAACTACTCAAAATATCCGCTACCGGTTCTCCAGAACTGGTCAGAACCGGCTGAATGCCACCTCTGGTTCTCTGTTACATTAAAATCAAGAGACTAATGTTTTATGAAAATAGGGGTATTTTAGAAAGTTGATTATTAGTATTTTAAAACTTTGGTATTATTCGCTTAAATTTAGAAGGTGGTTGTCCGGAGTGGGATTCACATTTTTTTAACAAACGGTTCTGTGGGCGTGGCTAGGTGGGCGTGGCCATGTGACTGGGTGGGCGTGGCTTTCTGCAGCAATTCCCCCTCCCCCCCATTTTTTTGGACCTTCTGGGCCTCAGGGAAGCCTCCTGGTGGGGCGTTTTGCTCCCAGGAAGTCAAAGAATGAGGGCCCCCCTCCATTTTTTGCCTTCCTGGGCCTCAGGGAAGCTTCCTGGGTGAAGTGAGGGGAATCCCAGTACAGTTAATCATAGAACAGCTGATTGTCGGGAGGGGGAAAAGAAATATCTTATGGAGTGACTGGGTGGGGAAGAATGCAGTTAGTGACATTGGGCATGCGTGCGGTGTTGTGCATGCATGATAAGGACTGGCTGGGCGGGGAAAGTAGGGGCGGGCGGAGAGAGGTGGGGCCAGCCAGGGGCACGATTTGTTGGTTCTCTGAACTGTGCAGAATCATAACAACCGGTTCTATAGAACTGGTCCAAACCGGTAGAATCCCACCCCTGGTGGTTGTGGGAATCACTAGGCGAGACAGGCAGCACATAAATTTAATGAACAAATCAATCGTTACTGATTATCCTCAAAACTAAAAGACATTTGAAGGCCCTTCAATGTGTTGGTTGTAATTATGGGTCACTTTTATGATATTATATTCCCTTCCCCTGTTATGTCCACATGTATTTGAATGTTTGATTCTGAAATTTAATAAAGATATTATTTTTTAAAACAAAAAGAAAAGGGGAAAATATGATAGGCAGATCAGTTACATTACTGGTAGTCTTCAATTTACAGCCCAAAATTTCTATTGCTAAGCAAGACAGTTATTTAAGTAAGTTTTTTCCCCATTTTATGACCTTCCTTGCCGCAGTTGTTAAGTGAATCACTGCAGTGGTTAAGGAAGTAACCCGGTTGTTAAGTGAATCAGGCTTTCCCCTTGACTTTGCTTGTTAGAAGGTCGCAAAAGGGGATCACATGACCCCAGGACACTGCAACCGTCGTAAGAGTGAACCAGTTGCCAAGCATCTGAATTTTGATCACGTGACCATGGGGATGCTGACACGGTCATAAGTGTGAAAAAATGGTCGTGTCCTTTTGTTCAAGTGATGTTGTACCTTCGCACGGTCACTAAAGAAACAGTTGTAAGTTGAGCACCACCTGTGATTATTTGCAAGTCATCTTGACTGTCCATTTCAAGTTGTCTCAACTGATCATTTTTGCAAATATGTCAAGTTTGGTTCTTGGTTCCGAAACGGTTTTTGTTCCTTCAGGTTTGCACTGAAATTTGCATCGGTTGTTGTGCGCCTCAATAGGCTGCAATCATCAAAAATATAATTCTAGAGATCATAGAGTAACAGAGTTGGAAGGAACCTTGGCAGTCATCTAGTCCAGTAGTTGCCAACCAGAACATTTTGGTGGTCCGCAAAAAAAAAATGTCACCCCCAAAGCATTTCCCCTAAAGCAATTAATCCAGGCTGCACAGGAACACAAGGCTGCACTGCCCACATGGCCTGCAGGAACACAAGGCTTGCATCGCTTTCATTGTGAACAACTTGAGGTAGTGAGGGAAGGGGGGGAAAGGGCAGAAGGGGGGAACTTGCCCCACTCACCCCACACACCTGGCCTGGCCACCGAGCTGCTTCTTTCTGCTTCTTTCTTCTTCTGCTTTTGGCTGCACGCAAGGGAAGCAGCCAAAGTCTTTCTTTCTCTCTCCCAAACTCCGCCAGAAATGAGTCTTTGGGACCCTGCAAGGCCTCCTGCTCCAAGAGGCTGTGCCATTCTTGCAGAGTTTGGGGGAGAGAAAGAAAGACTTCTGCTGCTTCTACTGCTTTCCTTGCATGAAGGCAAAAGTCAGTCTCTCTCTCTCTCTCTCTCTCTCTCCCCCTGAGAACAGAGCTGGAGACAGTATCCTGCAATCTCAAATAAAGAATAATCGATTGGTAGGAAAACAGGAAATTTTCCTGCAGACTTTTCTGGGTATTTTCCTGGGGTCTCTGCTGCTTTCTGCAGGGACTCTGAGAAAACATCTGCAAGCCACTGTCATTCAAAATTCATATTAGTGGTCTGCAGGATTTAAAATTATGAGTTTGGTGGTCCCTGAGGTCCAAAAGGTTGGAGACCCCTGATCTCGTCCAACCCCCTGATCAAGCAGGAGAGTCTATTCCAAATATTAGTCTCTACCTAGGATCGAACTCACAGCCTTCACCTGACTGTGAGGCGAGAGCTCCAGCTCTAGGCCACATTCAATCAATCACGTTGCCAAGTGTCCCGATTTTGATCACGTGATCGTGGGATGCTGCAGCCATCATTAAATGTGAAAAACAGTCATAAGTCACTTTTTTCAGTGTTGTTGTAACTTTGAACGGACACTAAAGGAATGGTTGTAAGTTGAGGATTACCTGTATAATGAGTCATGGTGGCACAGTGGTTAGAGTGCAGTACTGCAGGCTACTTCTGCCAGATGACTGCAATTTGGCACTTTGAATCCCACCAGGCTCCAGGTTGGCTCAGCCTTCTATCCTTCCAAGGTGGCTCAAATGAGGACCCAGATTGTTTGGTGCAAGAGGCTGACTCTGTAAACCCCTTAGAGCAGTGGCCCCCAACCTTTTTTGTGCCGCGACCTGGTACCGGCATCACAAAATCATCCGCGGCCCGGTACCGGCATCACAAAATCATCTGCAGCCCGGTACCGGCATCAGCACGCATGGCAAGGTGAGCCAAGCCGAGCAACTGGCCGGCCAGCCGTCCCCCACTTCTCCCTGCCACCTTCAACTCCTCCTTTGTACCTGTGTCGATGGGCTTCAGGACGGCTTTGGGACGGTCGCTCGGCTCGCCCTGCCTTGGGTACTGAAAGAATCCTCATGCCTTAGTTTTGTTCGAAGCCACACACACCCCCCCGATGAAACTAAGGCGCGAGGATTCTTTCAGCACCCAAACGCCGCTTTCTACCCGGAAAAGCTCACCGGAAGCACTTTTTCATCAAAACAAGATGGCGGCACCCAGCAAACCGGCGGCCTGGTAGAAATTGTTCCACGGACTGGTACTGGTCCAGGGACCGGTGGTTGGGGACCCCTGCCTTAGAGGGTTTATAAGTCTAAGTGCTATTGCTATAGTTATACAATCCCCATTCGTGATGCCACTTCCTGTTTCACTTATTTTACAAGGGAAAGTAAACATAAGGGAAAATGAAGAAGCTTCTTGGATGAGAAGCGAAACGTCTTCACAGAAAAACCAGAAAGCCCAGTTGCCTCTTGGGAAAAAAAAATCACTTTGGGACAACCACGGCCTGGAGCAGTGGTCCCCAACCTTTCTTGTACCACGGCCCGGTACAAAATGTACAAAATGATCCACGGATCGGTAACGCGAGACTCCACCGCCATCGGGACGGCTCTTCGTTTGAAGCCGCCCCCCCCTTCGACAAAACTAAGGCGTGAGGATTCCTTCAGCACCCAAATGCCGCTTTCCAACTGACGACCGACAAGCTCACCCGGAAGCACTTTCTCAAGCGCCGTCGAAACAAGATGGCGGCGCCCAAGCAAAATAGGCGGCCCGGTACAAAATGATCCATGGACCGGTACCGGTCCGGGGCCCGGTGGTTGGGACCACTGGCTTGGAGGACTGAGAAGCTCCACAGACATAAGGAAGAACGGCTCACCCGATTTAGGATTGCACTCAACAGCCGGCACCTGTCCCAGGTTTGGGGAGAGGTTGTAATAGAAACTGGATCCTCCAGCCAATGAAGTCACACTGCTTCTTCGGACAGCTGAGACAATTTTGATTTCCTTATTGGTTTGGACTGAAAAATAAACCATGTTCAGTGTTATACTTAGTACATAGAAATTGGCAACCAGACAATGCAGATGGATTGATTCCCCACGTCCTTATTATGGCTAAAAGACTAATACGGCAGCGTGGTAAAGAAGTGTCTATGCCCCCCTTGTGGATTAAAGACCTGATTAAACCTGCTACTGATCATATGAGTGGATTACTATAAATGTTTATTTCTTATTTATTTAGAAGATTTATATGGCTGCCCACTCACTCTCGGTGACTCTGGGCGGCTTCGTAAAGGTATAGGTGACCCCTCGCACATACGTGCTAGTCGTTTCCGACTCTAGGGGGCAGTGCTCATCCCTGTTTCAAAGCTGAACAGCCAGCGCTCTTTGAAGACGTCTCCATGGTCACGTGGCTGGCACGACGAAACATCGACCGCGCAGGGAACGCTGTTACCTTCCCACCAAAGGGGTCCCTATTTTTCTACTTGCATTTTTTAACGTGCTTTCGAACTGCTAAGTTGGCAGAAGCTGGGATAAGGAACGGGAGCTCCCTCCGTTATGCGGGACTAGGGATTCGAACCGCTGACCTTTCTGATCGACAAGCTCAGAGTCTTAGCCGCTGAGCCACCGCGTCCTTGGAAGGCTTACAAAACCCAATATAAAGGAATAAAAAAACAGTAACTCTCCACCTTCCTGATGACAATATACAATCAAATGAGCCACTTGAGGGGGGGGGGTATGTCAGCCTGTTTTCCGAAGCACCAGAAAGCAGGAAGAGAAACATCTAAAATGGTATAGGATCCCTTGCTTGAGCCTTCCAACTTTGTTATTCTGCTACTCTGGGCTCCCCCCAGGCCAATTGAATCAGAATAGACCTGGAAGGGACCTTGGAGGTCTTCTAGTCCAGCCCCCTGCTCAACCAAGAGACCCTATACCTGTGATAGAGAACCTATGGCATGCGTGCCAGAGGTGGCACACAGAGCCCTCTCTTTGGGCACGCGAGCCATCTCCCAGCTCAGCTCTGCTGTGCATATGTGTGCGCATCTTCTGCCGGCCAGCTGATCTTCAGGTCTCTGCTGAGCATGCATAGGGGTCATAGACACATGCACAGGGGACACGGGGGGGGTCACATGAGCATGCCTGGGGGGGGCAGGGGGCATGCCCGGGGCATGCGTGTTGCATTTTGAGCAGTGGCCCCCAACCTTTTTAAAACCAGGGACCGGTTTCACGATTATTTATTCTTCCACGGACCGGTACCTGAGTAACGCGAGACTCCACCGCCATTGGGACAGCTCTTCGTTCGAAGCCGCCCCCCGCCCTCTTCGACAAAACTAAGGCACGAGCACCCAAACACTGCTTTCCGACTGAAAACCCGGAAGCAACCAAAAACCTGGAAGCTCTGTCGAAACAAGATGGTGGCGCCCAAGCTTTGCAGCCCAGTAGAAAATGTTCCACGGGCCGGTACCGGTCCGGTGACCAGTGGTTGGGGACCCCTGATTTTGAGGATGCACGCACACACTTTGGGCACTTGGTGCTGAAAAGGCTAGCGTCTGAGTATATTCATTAACTGGCAGAGACATGGTTAACAAAGTAAGCATGGCAACAGTCCAGCCAATGGGAGCTGACAGCCTGGGTGTGGTTTGGCTCTGTGTGCCTTGCTAAGAATTGAAAGTGAAACTAAACTGACTTGCTTGCTTACTGGAACTGGTATCTGCTCTGAGCTGCTGCTTGCTGTTTGTGTAATGTTACGTTGAAAGAATCTACAGATGGTATTGTAAACTTTACTCATATTAATATGTTTATAAAGAAGTTAATGATCCTGTGAGTCAGTCATCTGTGTGTTTCCTGGACTTGAATTTCTGCAGCAAACTTTAAGAGTTAGCCATCACTGCCCTATACCATTTCAGGCAAGTGACTCTCCAGTCTAAAAGTCTGTAGAGATTCTCCGTCATCCAGGTCATGGTTGTTGTCCCAAAGGTGCTTCTTCTGGAGGCAACTGGACTTTCTGGTTTTTTTTTCTTTGGAAGACATTTTGCTTCTCATCCAAGAAGCTTCTTCAGCTCTGACTGGACGGTGGGGAACGGAAGGATTTATATTTTACGGACTTTTAGCTATACACTTTGGGATGAACATCCTTTGAATGGTGTGGGAGTAGGAATGGATATCCAGAGGGAAAAATTGCAGACTGCAGGAACCAGGAGCATTTACTCAGGTGACCCTGAGGACACAGATAAACCTCCCAGTGGCCTCAATGACCGTCTAAAACAGGGCTGTCAAACTCGTGGCTCACGGGGCGGATGCCCCACATCCTGGCCACGCCCAGTTTAGCAATGGGGGGAAAAGTCCCAATACGTCACATGACGACACCATGACAACGCGAGTTTGACACCTGCTTTTGAAGCCAGTTGTTTATTGGCTTGCCTTCTGGAGCTTTGGAAAATAGCTTGACCCCCTCTTCTTCTTTGTGGCAGCCCCTCAAATACTGGAATACTGCTATCATGTTCCCCCCTAGTTCTTTTTTTCCTCTAACCAAACCCAAATCCTGCAACCATTCTTCATATGTTTTAGTCTCCAGGCCTTTAATCATCTTCCAACTTCAGCGCCTATGTACAGTAAGAGTGTCAAACATTGAGGCCAGACTTAATCTCTGTAGGGATGGTGTTCCAAAGGGAGGGAGCCACATGCATTAACTTTTTATGGATAAATTTAATAAAATATGACATGGAATGTAGAATTCTATGGCTGGAAGGCACCCCAGAGGTCTTCTAGTCCAACCCCCTGCTCAATGCAGGCAACGCATGCAAAATATAGTCAGTTAAAACCCAGCACTGATTTCTGGTTTTCAGCAAAAATGCACTCGTAACAAAACCAGAGCAAAAAAGGTCGTAAAATCAGGTTGGTCATATCATAACTCAAAGAATCTATTTATGTGTGTGTGTTTGTGTGTGTTTGCACAATTTTTGCAATAAATAAACATAAATTGAAATTGTAACTCTTCACCTTCGTAACAACCTATTATACTCTGCTTATTTTTCCTGTTCTACTTTTTCACTTATTTTAAGCACTTACTACACGTTTTATTATTACACATATGTATTTCGATGTTGTGTTCCCGTATTGTTTTTCTCTTTTTTCTCTTATGTGTGTGTGTGTGTAAGTGTAAGTGTGTGCAGCATTTGACCAAAACTGCAGCATTTCACGTTCTGTAGTGAAACGAGTTTTTATTTCTTTAGCCTTTCTAGATTAATAAATAACATTCTTTTCTGAATCTGGGCAAAATTGTAGTTATAGCAATAATAGCACAGGGTGAAAATATAAATGGATTTGTAGCTCAGGCTTTATAGCCTGGGTTGCTATTCTAAGCAACTGAGGGCCAGGAGTTGAGATAAGGGAGAATCTGTCATGATTTCAAATTTTCGTACAAAAAATATATATTCAACTGACATCTGTCCAGCATAGTTCTTTAATTACCAGCCATCTGGCTCCTAAAAGTCTTTTTCTTTTTTCCAAAAACTGTTTTGTTGATGTTCACTGTTCTGTTTTCAACAGCTATTCAAGGAAATATATTCAATAAAATGTATCTTGGAACGCATGCTTTAAAGAAAGTGTGCACAACCGATATATGATATTATTATGGCATTTTGTTTCGTCTAAATGTGTCATTATTTTTTTTAAAAAATGGTGCAAAATCAAATATTTTGGGTGAAACTTGTTCAAACAAGCATGCATATTTTCTGCAGGCTGTAAATGGAGAAAGTATACAAGTCCAGGCTTGGCAGATCGCAGATTCTCCCATTATCTGGAGAATAGGATTTGCAAAGCTGAAACAGTGTGAGAATATTAGGGAATGTGCAGTTTTTCAAAAATTGGTTTTTTTGTGTGTGCATGTATGTATATGTGCATGTATGCGTTTATGTATTAAACAAATGTGTATTCCCTGCCCAGTTCACACGTAGGTGACTGTGGGCATATTACAACATTTATTTTTTTTTAATTAAGTGCTGGGATAAATGAAGAAGTAGAGCTGGATAATGGAACCAGATTGATGTCTTATTCAAAGGATATTTGTCCTTCTCTATTCCTCCTCCAAAGGAGGATTCTTCCTTTTCTTTCTTCTCCTCCTCCTTCTCCTTCTCCTCTCTTTTCCTCCCTCCTTCCTCTTCCTGCTCTTTCCTTCATTTCCTTCTCTTCCTCCATCCTTGGGGTTTCCTCCCCTCTCTCCTTTCTTCTTCCTTTCCTTTCCTTTCCTTTCCTCTCCTCTACTCCTTTCCTTCCCTTTTTCCTTCCCTTTCTCCTTTCTTTCCTTCTTCATTTTCTTTCCTTTCTTCTCTATTTCCTTTCTTCCCCTCTTTTCCTTTCCTCTTTCATTTCCTCCAATTTCTCTTCCTTCCTTTCCTTTCCTTTCCTCTTGTTTTTCTTCCTTTCCTTCCTTTCTTTTCTTGTTTTTCTTCCTTTCCTTTCCTTTCCTCTTCCCTTTCCTCCTATTTTCCTTCCTTTCCTTCCCTTTCCTTCCCTTCCCTTCCCTTTCCTCTTGTTTTCCTTCCTTTCCTTCCTTTATTTTCCTGTTTTTCTTCCTTTCCTTTCCTTTCCTTTCCTTTCCTTTCCTTTCCTTTCCTTT